GCTTAAACTCAAAATATAAACGGCTGGTGTTTTATCAAGGAACGAACAATTCAACGAACATCCTTACAACACGATATTGAGTGTGCTAGGCGGCAGGAAAGTGCTTTTTTATTTGAAACAACCAGAAGTGCTTCAAGCGGAACGACTGCTAACAATCTGCTGAATAAGTCACGCTTACCCCTCCTGTTATCTACCTACAATCATAATAACAGTCATTGTGAACATGATACATGGTTTGCTTCATTTGTGGCAGCCTGTTTTATAAAGTGGTTCGTTAGTTTTTTACATGATCTGCGTAACTGCTTGAACTATAACTGCTTGAAGTTATTCATCTGTCACCATCACCGGCTTATTCACTCGACTTTGTCAAACATCTTTAGATCAAAGTAAGCCGTGCCACCTAGTTTGCTTTTTATAATCATGCCTTATATAGATACTTTCGTAGCATTGTTTGAAAAGGTTTTCTATAAAGCGGACGGTGTCGGAGTGTGAAAAATAGGTAAAAGCGCTGAGTTAAAGTAATAAGTATGCACAGCTCAAGTCCATTAACAAAAATTTTGAATGGTTGACAAACTGCTTCGTTCGCATATAGCACTCTCATCCACTTGACAAATTGAGATGGACTAAAGACGAATTAATGCAGTCAAACACACGACCGGATACTAAAAACAAGAAAAGCGTTGACATACTTATCCATCCATTTTGTGGCGTTCAATAATCACCGTCACCTTTGCTCTGCATAGGTTCGCACTGGCTTCACTATGCGTTTGCCTTCTTCGTGCTCGCATAATGATACTTTGAAACTCACCGCATAATGCTGAAGATCACAAATAGATTATAAACATCTGCTCATTCTTGAAGCTTTTCCATCTGAGATCGGTAATTTCGAGTAAAAAAACCTTTTTGCAAAAGAGCAGTTGCAAATCTTGATGAGTTCCTGAAATTTATTTTGGCTTGGTAGTCCCCATAAAAATAATAGTCACCTTCGACTACGTCTCCGTGCAGAAATCCTCTCGATTGTATGCGTAAAACTTCGACTATTTTATTACTAAGAAGGGAAACTCACTTAGTCGAAGCGGCGATTTGGAAGGAGATATCTATACATGTGGATAGAGCTTAGAAAGCGATCTCAGATATACCTTCTATATCTGCGATGCGTTGTTCTGAAAAAAAGCTATGATACTTACTTAGATACTTGGCCCGTCCTCACGTGACGTGCGGGCCCCAGTACAGAAGTCGCCAGTTTTCCCTGTCCCTCGCTTCAGACATCCACGATCTTCTTGGCCGTCGTCGGTGGCTGCGTCCACGAGTTCCAGGGGCGAAAGTTGTATCCAGCTGATTTCTCAGGTGGTTTATCCGTTCCACGAACACGTCTGCCCATCTCGTCGGTGGTCTTCCTCGAGGACGTTTGGCTTCGCGAGGAATCCACTCCGATGTTCTTAGTGTCCATCTGTCGTCTGTTCTTCTTATGATGTGACCGGCCCATCGATGTTTCGCCTTCGCAACGTATTCCGCTGAGTCAGAAAGACAGGACATTCTTCTCATACCCATACTGCGAGGTCCGACAAGATGTTGTTTGTGTCGGGTTGTCTTCAGAAGACTGCGCTCGAGCGCTCTGTGGGTGGTCCGTAAAGCTTTCGACGTGGCTACAGTGTCGGCCCAAGTCTCAGCTGCGTAACAGAGCGCCGGGAGAACGGTTGAGTCGAACAGGTGGGCACGAAGCTCCGGGTCCGTCAGTTGGTCGGTGGCTTCCTTCAGAGGCCCGAAGGCGGCCCAGGCTGCTCTTCTTCTCCTGTTAAGTTCTTCCCTCAAGTCGTTCTCCATGTTCATCGAACGTCCGAGATACACGTAGGAAGACGGCTCCATAATCGGGGTGCCTTCCAATTCCATTTCTGCATCTTCGCAAAGGGCGTTCTTCATGAACTGAGTCTTCTTCCGATTTATTCGCAGTCCGATCTTCTTCCCTACTTCGTTTAGTTCCTTCAGCATCGTCTCTGCTTTGGTGATACTGCTCGAGAAGAAAACGATGTCGTCCGCAAAACGAAGGTTGGACAGGAATCTCCCATCAACTCGTATGCCTCTCTCGTCCCAGTCCAGTGACTTCATCACCCACTGCAAGGCCGCGGTGAACAGCTTCGGCGAGATTGTGTCGCCTTGTCGGACCCCCTTCGATTGGTTTCGACGCTGTCAAAGGCTTTCTCGTAGTCGACAAAGGTTAGGACGAGAGGCAGTCGGTACTCCCGGCAGACTTCTATGACCCTCGAAACGGTCTGGATGTGGTCCATGCAGCTGAATTCTTTGCGAAATCCAGCTTGTTTTTGGGGTTGGGCTTCATCCAGTGTCCTTGACATGCGAGCGAGGATAATCTTCGTGAAAAGCTTGTACAGCACACTCAGCAAGCATATTGGACGGTAGTTCCGAAGATCCTCCCGTTCACCCTTTTTGAAGAGAAGGACGGTTCTTGACGTTCTCCACTGGTCGGGAATCTTCTCCTTCTGAAGGTAAGATGTCAAATGCGACGCTAGAATTTCGTGTAGACGGTGTCCTCCGGCTCGCAGAAGTTCGACGGAAAGATGATCTGGTTCTGGAGCCGTGGACGTCTTCATGATCTGTTATGAGCTAAAAGTTATGAGCTTTTCTGAAACCAAATTTTCGTGCATTTTGAGTCGCAATCATGATAATCGCTGCACAAAAGTGTGCAAGCTTGAGCAAACCACCTAGTAAGCATTGTAGGTCTTCGAGTTCACCCGAACGTTTCAAGTGTTTTCCGACCATGTTGTTTATTCATAGGCAGTCATTTCCTTCCTACATCACACTTCCATCATTTCTTTCATTCCACTATATATGCAAAAAAGCCCATAACCTCCATCTAGAAGAACGCGTCGCAAATATTGAAGATATATTTGAGAATATCGGGGTTATGATGAACTCGAATTAGACCTGCAATGCTTACTAGGTGGTTTACTTGAGCTTGCACACTTTTGTGTAGCGATTATCATGATTTTGCGATTTAACATGCACAAGATTTGGCTTTAGAAAGGCTCATAACTTTTTTCAGAACGACGCATCGCAAATATAGAAGGTACATCTAAAATCAGCTTTTTGAGCTCTATCCATTGGTATAGATCTTCTTCCGAATCGCCACTTCGAATAAGTGAACTTCTCTTGTAAGCAATCATTCCTTAGCTTTCAGCAGTAATCAAAATTCTTGAGAATCTGTTGAGCTGAAATCCATGCATTGCGATTTACTTGTCAAGCAGATACATACCTTTGCAGAAATTCGAATCAGCGGCCTAGTTTTGCTTGTCAAAGCCGCGTGCACCTCACGTGGCAGTTCGGAAAGACCTTGCTTCGAATCCGTTGGTCATTGCGCAAGGTGAGCCTAAAAGCTGCCAAAAATGGGTATGGGAACGAAGGTCGCCAGTTTGAGCCGCCTTTGGCCCCGGGCAGACTTCACGCGACTTGATCGTCGCGACTGAATCGCGACGAGACAACTGTTACGACATCATTCCATGCCGATCAACTTGCATTTCGGTTGTGATACTTTTTCAGCCCGAATTTTTTGAATGTGAAATGAAAATGAATGGAAATGTTGGCGATTGAGTCGCGACGATCAAATCGCGTGAAGTCTGTCCGGGGCCTTTCGCGGCTAACTGATCCTTTTGCAGTATTATGGCATGCCGTTCCAGGACCATTAGTTTGCGGAAGCTGCCCAAATTGGCGGCTTTCGTTTCCCTACCCCCAAAATTAACTCAAAACCTAATCTGTAGCTCGCTCTACGAATGACAGACAGACATACATACACTTACAAAAACTCAAATGCTTAGCGTTTTATTATAAGTCACGATAGATTGCGTCACTAACATTGTTTGCAGATGCGTCAATTAACTCATGTCAGCATGATTCGATTCGTCGTGGTTGTTTCACTTAGAAGGCTGATAGGAAAGCTGTAGTAAAACTTTATACGAGAAAGAAATCAAGCAGGCGATTTTAACATGAAAGTCGAGATACATAATTCGAATCTCAGTGCTTTGCTGTGCATCACCGCCGCTGCTGTTGTTATAAACGCGACTGTTACCGCTGTTACCGCTAATATGCTTACCCCTTCTTGCTTACGTAGGAGATGTACAAATGCGATATACTACAGCGATGATGACACGGGAAGCACGGCAGTAACTGCGTAACATCGAAAACAGCCGTAGCAAAGGTAAAAGGCCTAATCCTTAGTTCTTCAATTTGGCGGTGTTAATTGAAAAGTGGAGTACAGTAGCATTACATTCGAAATCCAGCAAGACGGAGTTCCTGCACAGCCTTCCTCTTTAGGAAAAAAAACGTTGTTAATCGTCAAAGCTTACATCATACTTTGCGAGTGATCATTGTTTATTATCCTGTGAAAGAGCTTAAAGGAGAACGCAAGTCCATCCTGATAGCAGCACTACTGCTAACTTCAGCTGTGCTAAATAACTTTCTATTGAATATGTCTCGGCATATTGATATGAGGCTCTTTACTATTGGTTTCTTGCTATGCATATTTGCTGCGCGCTTTCCAGGTCTCTCAAGTCCTCGCTTTTTTCTCTGAGCAGTGCTGAACGGCTACAATTGAAGTCACCTTTGAACTTAAATGTGAAGTGCGAAAAAGTAGAAATGCCTAATCACTTACGGGGAAAAATTTGTTCTACAAATTGAGTATTGTCCAATTGAAGCCTGCTTTTTTTAAACGTTTTGTGGCGCTTATCAAATTTACACTACAACAAAAAGAGGGACAACTTTGGAAGTTGTGCCAGTTAGATTGTGCACTCAAAAGATTCAAAACTGAAAGCAAAGACAAAAATCCCCAGAGCTACTGCTTTTGTACCGGCTACTCTTTGCGAGCTCCCTTACTGCTCCTAGTGCGACCTGAAATATGGTTCATCACGACAGAGTTTCTACTTTCTATCTTAAGTGTTATGTGAAGCGACTTCGCTGTATTAGAACATCTAATGTGATGATTGCTTTCAGGTAAATGAACTATGCAGGTGCGTGTTCCAACAGATGGATTTACCTATAGAACTGCACCTTCTCTCAATCATTTGCCTCCACCACTCATTGCGCCACCCGCATTCCCTCCACTTTTGAATGCGTGGTTGAATCCTAGTGTCACTTACACACGCGTCACTGTAGAAGATTTACTTGGGACAACAGCGGTACAAAATCGTATTTGTTACGCATGATAATTCTCTGCAAATTTTTTTGCTCAGATTATTGTACCACCGGTGCGATCGCAACTTAATACCTCCTCAATTTTCAACCCACATTATCATTGTGCGCCGGCATTTGCACAGTGCGTTATTATTCGAAAATACACCTACCATTTGTGGTCGAGTATGAGGAAAATTTTGCAAATTTAGGAACGTTGACTCCTGTCAAAGTGCCACTTCAAGTAGATTTTCATCTAAAACAGTGGGTAGGTTTTGGTGAATAAGTATTGAACACTTTACATGGATACAGTAGCGAAAAGAGATTGTACACTGCATTCAATGGTGAATGGATGTGCTATTATCTGATTTGCAATTGAATCTGGAAAAACTTCTGTGAAGCAGAAAATATGGACAATCTATGCCGTCGGAGCATGTTTCATCAAAGTGAAATAATCAGATTTCGATGGTAATAAGTATGTCGCACACCCTACAAATAGGCCGTAGCTCCAGTTCTACATTTCAATCCATGCGCCGATGAAAGGGTGCTTTAAAATGCCGCCGGCTCCGCCCGCCTTTGTTTAGTGAGCGTCAGAGGAGAAACTAAAGCACGTTTTCCGCTTTAGCGCATGTAACGATTGGGAGACCTACTACAAACACCATCAAATTCGTAAAGGGTTCAATTTGCCGGCCCATGTTGAATATTGCTAAAAAAGTGAGGAACCTTAAGTTTGATAATAGTCCTTGTCAGATTACCTAACTATTTGATCGTCTCAAAACTATTTTCGCTTTTTTTTGAACTAGCGACAGATTTCTGCTGAACAAAGATTCATAGGAGATTTTGGTAACATCCGATGCAGATCTTCATGCTCTATGAAATTTACATTGTGAGTTACAGTTCAACAAACGAGCTTTCAGAAAATTACCAAAAACTGCCACCCACGATCCCATGGTCAGATTACTCCTACTTTTCCTAATTCTTATACTGACTTTCCGAAGAAGTTCGAGTAACGAATAAATAGAGCAACCTATAGGATACAGAACACGTTTACAGCTTACTTTCCAAAACTTCCGAAATTATTTTTTTATACTATCAAATTTGTATGTGGTGAAGTTGGACCTAACACAACATCAACAAGCGAACATTTCAGTTTAATGCAATGCAACATTTTCTTCTTACAAAAGTCTTATTATTTTTATCTTGAGAGATAAGTTCGAAATTCATGCTTTCAAAGGCTCCCCAGGCTGCAAAATTTATGATTTGATCTTTCAAACCCCTGAGCGCTCATTCGCTTTGTAAAAAAAGATCTAAATTATAATCCACCTTTGAGAGCTTCAAAAATTAAAAATCGAGAATTTGTTAATGCTTGACTAGTTCGCCTTTGTCAAAATATGATAGTATCGTTTAAAAAAACAGAATTGTTTTTTATCTTATAGGATTTGCTCTATTTATTCGCCTGAACTTCTTCGAGGGATCAGCACAAAATTTTCAAAATTTATCGAAAATAACCTCGGTCGTGGTTTTTGGTAATTTTCTGAGAGCTCCTTTGTAGTATTGCGATGTAAAGGCAATCATTTGAAAGTGCATGATAAAACGCATCGAATGCTTCACCTAGCATATGGAATATATTATACTTATACATTCCAAGGAATTTCAACTTTCATTGCTTTTTAGCTAAACTGGCTCATAGGCTGCGTTCATACTGATCCCGAAGTCCGGGAACAGTTCTAGCACAACGCTCAGTTCGAGCGCTGTGTTGGAACTGTTCCCGAACTTCGGGATCAGTGGGAACGCAGCCATATTCTAACATGAAGATCAATGCAGGTCACATTTCGTATTTCTTGATTTAGCAGTTTTTAGTGTCGCAGAAGCCTCCGGCAATATCGTTTTTCAATAGGGTCAACACGTATTGCGGAAAATATCCGACCTCATCGTTCAATGAAGATCGCTATGAGGTGAGACGTGCAATAACCATAATCATCAAGCCACCTTAACCTTTAACAATACAGAATAGAAGCTTAGATACAAGTCTTGTTGCTTTCACTACAAAACGCGACTTTCTCAATGAAGAGAATAGAAAGTAATTGCGAAACAGTCGAATTTACAAACAAGTTGTGTATCGAATCGTTTTAGGTGTCATCGTGATATTGCGAAAATGATATGGGAAGCAGAAGGTAAGAATGTTTTTAAAGAGTTCATGACATCGAGTCAATCACAAAGATGTATACAAAATCTCGATTTTTACAATAGCTTCCGCACATGTTAGTAAACGGGAGACGTTTGCTGAATGTAAAGCGTGTCCCACGTAAAGCTTAACTTGTTGTTAATATGTATAAGCATATTTCTTTCGAAATGATAGCTCGAGCGCGAAACATACGTTTGACTCACGCGTTATGTGTGATTTGCAGTCACGCTTCCAGTTCCTTCAGTAACAACTAGGCGACAAGCGCGCCTAAAATACTTAATGAACACATCCTTCAGAGAATTTTACTCTTGCTAACTCGGTCAAATTGTTTAATAGAAAACAGTCTTTATCAGTTTCGATAGCGCTTCATACACAACGACCACCATGATGTTGCTGACAAAGTGACTTCTTTTTTCATTGCTCTTTTCTTGAGGAGGAGAACGAAAATGGATCCCTCAAAGCTACAACTCCAGCTATTCCTTTTTTCAAAGAGAATTCTGAAACTTTTGAAAAAATGAAAAAATGGCTGCGTTTTACTACCGCAGTTTCTTAAACGCCACTTCTCAAATTTCCTTCATGAGCTATAAAGTAGTTTTTTTCAATTGTTATTTGTTCAATCAACCTGTGTCATTGTAAAGAAGGTCTAGACCTATTTGTGATTTTTTTGGAAGTGTTTTTTAAAATTCCTCGAATACTTCTTTTCCAGGGCTGTATGCTGACGTTGAAGCGCTCACGAGCTCACCAAATGCAAATGTCGCTTTTTGTAGGCTAAGCGATAAAAAAGGTTGCTTTGCCGCAACGTTTTGGCGGTCGTAGTACGTGCGCTCCAACATCATTGTGAGCTTTATGGGGATTCGCTCACAAAATTATGGGACTATTTGTTAGTAGATTTCTCGTTGCAGATCTTTACGACAATGCCTTAAAAGTCATACGACAACGTCGAAAACAGTGGCGAAGAGAGCGAAAGCGAAAACTCCCAAGACACAATCGTCAACAACCATCCTCATCGTCGTCGTCATCCTCGCCAATACATACTCGAGTGCTCAACCACTCCGAGGATGATAACTTTTTGTTCGAACCCGATGTCATAGTGAATGAAATACTTGCGCATGCTCAGACTGAGGTTGAAAGAGATGATAGCTTTGACAAAGTGCCTTTTATTCATCTCGTTAAAGACCGTACCAAAATCACTATAGATAGTCTTAACGAGGAAAATAAGGCTAACGTAGAAGAAGATCGCCTAGATTTAAAGAATACTGAGCAAACTAAACAGGAAAGTATCACTATGTACACATTTAGAGGAAAAGAAGTAACGATGGCTGATATAGCTGATGCACTTTTTGACATGGAGAAAGGCTTGCATGAAGGAACCGAGTACCAAATCAAAATGAATAAACAAGCTCTGAGGAACGCAGTTGAATGTATGCAACAGTACATAATGGAGGAACTTAAGCTTGTTCCCGCTGATTTCGTTAGAGTCAAGATTCCCATTGCTTCATGTGAAGCATCAATCAATTTGGACGGACAGATTATTGATTGCAAAAAAACATGTTCACAAGGGGACTTAGACTACTGTATGAGCCGCAAAAAGATTAAGTTTGAAAAAAGGAAATATGGCGTTTTGGCGTGCAATGATAGGGAAGTGACCGCGGACGTGATAGTAAGAGCCATAGCAAGGCTAATAAGTAAAATATACGGAAGAAGACCACCTTTTAAAATCGCTAGGCCAGAGCTAGTAGCATTTGTGGCTCGAAAGAAGAGCAGGTTGCTCAAGATGCTCAAAAATGCAAAAGGTAAAGTTGATTCTTCAACGCTCAAGATTGCCTCACACCATCCTAAGAAACCATGCCGCTCAATAAAAAGGAGAATAAGACCTATTTTTCTATTGAGAAAAAGTTCCAATTTAAACGCACTTAGATTGAAGACCATTAAGAAGAAGGAAGAAGAAAGCAGTGTGATTGATCAAGACACGTTATCTAAAGAGCATGAGAATCAGCACTGTGAAATCGCAGTCTCTTCAAGTCCAACCAAGATTGGAAAATCAGTCGTTAAGTGCAGAAATCTGGTATTGGGGAGATTAGAACGTCATATGTTTCGAACTACCAGAAATCCGCTAACTCCAAGATCTCTACGGACAGCTTCTAGGAGAATGAGTATGATTAAAGGCTCCCCAAAGAAATTCCGGCAGGCCCTGATGAGAATAGTTTCACCCAAGAAAGAGGAAGAGATAACAGATGAAGAAAAGAGTGCAGATGCTGTAAGCAAAAACCTGCAACGTAATCCACTTACACTTGCCGACTTTCTATCATATCGCGGCTCGCAAGCAACGGCCACCTCCAGTATATTTGTCAGAACAGTTGAAAAAAAGGCAAAGAAAAGAAACAAGAAGGGATGGCGGAAGTCATGGATTTGAATTATTGTAGAAAAAACGTGAAGTGATACTTACATAACAAGCAATCTAGATTTGGTTAATCAGATTGCACTTGTACAAATTTTCTAATAAAATTATTGAAAATGTTTAAACAATCTAAAATTCTATCAAACAATACTTTTCAGTTATTTTTGAATTTCTGGTTTGGGAAGTTTTAAGGTGTAAATCAGATTTCACTTTGGAATAAAACAATATGGAGGTCGCAAAACTTTTGAAAGTTGTTTACATGAGCTATAAGAATGTTCAAATAACTTTCCCATATCTCAAATAATCAAATTAATTTTTTGAATGTTCAAAAATTCAAACTGGCCTTGTAAAAAAATTTTTTCGGTGTAGACCACCAATAAATCTGTGAAGCATCCTCAAAAATTTTTCGTATTGCGTGGCTGACGTCAAGCTGTTTCATTCGAAAAAAAAAATTCCTGTCGACCCTCCTCCGAACGGACCACTACTGCGAATTAGGTACCTATATGCTTGAGACAGGCTTCCAAAAACCATGGAAACCTATATGAATAAGATCGTGCGTAGTCTATTGAAATGTGATTAACTTTTTAACGCTAAAAAATAGTACAGACAGACTTGAAGAGGAAATTCATAAAATTTGGAAAAGTAGTGGTGCTTGTAATGGTGGCATACTAGTAAGTGACTCAAATGAAGATTCTAATATTTACTATTACTTTGGTTTTTTTAGAACTTCAGGCTGCGAATAGCATCAAAAATAGAAATTTTACGCTTTAGTGTTCCAGCCATTTATGAGCATTCAAACAGTGACAAACAAACATAAACAAACATAAACATTTATAATAACATTATTATATCAGAAATATCTATATAACATTTGTAACTATACAAATAACGTTTGTAAACATTTATATAGTGCTCCAAGGCAATTTATGGGCCATTTACAGGGTGGGGCAAAAGTCTGAGGGCCAATTTTGCAGTGGTGTAAACCAAGAGACTACCAATGATTCTGAATCCGAATTTGTGTTACACAATGTTGCAATTGTCCTCTACAGATCACATTTATCTAGATATAGATGCTTGCTATATGCTATATGCCATTGTAAGAACTGCATTCACCAAACAAGTGCTTCTGCAAAGCTAGAAGATCAAAATTTCTAGTTTTCACAATTTATTTTGTAGCTAAAGATACTGACAAAATTCTACAACACTTTGGTGCACATATAGAGTAGGATTTACGTTACCACATCGTGGCAGTTGCGTTTGCCAGAAGCCACTCTTTCGAAAAAGCAAAATGAAAATTTGCTTACCTGCGTGCCAGTGGCCACTTTCCTTTGAAATAAATTTGAACGCTATAAGAGCGCAGCACGTACTGAGTTCTAGGCTAAAATCTTTCATTGAGTATTCTATGTATATAAGCATCCATTTGAATTCGATTGGTGGAATTCGAATTCAATACTTTTTAGATTAGAAATTTCTTGCTCCCGTTCGCGCAAACGCGTCAAACATTCTAGTTTGCGAGTACATTTACTGTCACTTATAATTCTGATTTTTTCCTAAATTTTGCAGAGAAAGTTCTTTGTATTATGCTATAGCCAAAAGCTCGCTTTTTCATACTTCACATTCGCCTAGTGAAAAAAGCAATTATCGTGAAGGCGTAGGAGGAACTTCATCGCGACTGCCTGCGTGCCATGACAAACGAACTTGCCAAGGTTTGAAAGGGCTGCTCTAAAGTTAGAAGAAACCATTTCAAAACTCAAAAGCTGCTCTGTATTTGTAAGGATTCGATTTGCATGTGCACTAGATTTTTCGTTTCTAGGTACTTTCCTTCTAATCTTATCTGCAAAAGTACCAAGCTTCCAGACTTTTGCCCCATCCTGTATATTTTTTCAGAATTTTTTTGTATTGCAGTGAAGTTGCATGCGAAATGATCAAAACCCGTGACAGTCTCCCCATCAAGCAATTCATTGACCACTGTATTAAACCACACCATGTCGTTCTTTACTATATAGCTCGTAGATAAGGAGCGACATGTTAAAGGGCGGCTCAACTCCGGAGAGAAACACTTCTCATAATTCCTCCTACAGAACCGTTCCGCAGTTAGAAACTACAGATTTGGAATCTTTTTTGAAGCGCATGACGATGCTTTATGCCTTATTTGGATTGGCAGGGGCGATTTGGGTAATGTCTAAGCGGTAGTAAAGGCTGAAATAGACTATGAATATACAGATGCTAGAAAGCTAAAGACTTTTGTGGGCTAAATCACAAAACATACTATCAAGCAATCGCAAACTTGTTAATTCATTGCAAAAAAATTAGGGCATAATAAAGCATGAACCTGGGTTTTTGCTTAATTTGACAGTGATGAAAGCCAGCATGGATAACATTGCCCAAGGACATATCTTCCTCAGATAAGTTGAGGAGGATTGTTTGAGGAGCTGTTTGATGGTGAAGGACATTAAAGTGACTGTTTCCTTTTGAGCTTTCTGATGCGGTGTGCAACGAATAAAGCATTGCCGATAGTATCTTCTAACAATAAGATTCCGACGTAAATTATCATAAAACGCTCATTCGGTCTTTTCTAGAGTGTGTTAGAAGCACTCCTGACCATATGTTAACGATCCTTTGATATCACAATTATTTTTGTGGCTTTGTTCTCGTACTGATTCTTTCCTCAAAACGGGCATTTTGGCTCTTAGGGATCAGCTGGCTGTGTGTGCAACATAACCTATAAAGACTTGTAGAGCTACTGAACCGCTTCATGGCCTCCACAACAAGCATGAATAGCAATCATTAAAGACTTTGAATAGTTGTTATTCCAACAATTTTACACTCAAGTGATTGCATCTCACAGTACAAAGAAGTTATGATAGTCTAAGATACAGCCTGTTGGGATTCTATGGCACAGTTTCTTAGAGGCACCGTCCACCTTGAGCTGAGGGTGTTGAGCTTTTGGCAGCCTATAATAGTAGGGTCCTCTATCAATCCAATGCCCAAGTCGCGGCGCAAAATGCCGCTTCGGTAGCGAGAAAATCGCTTCGGAATAGCGAAGATGCACGAGGACCCCCATCCATGCCCGCCCTCCCCCATCCATGCCCGCCCATTTGTGCGCGCCCATCCAATCGCCGTTCTGGAAAGCCGGTCTGTGGGTTCTCCGGAACGGGAATTGTCGGGGTTTTCGAGCATTCTCGACTTCATATTAGGAATCAGGAACATTAGAAGACCCTGGAACGACAAAAACGTGGAAGTCGATCTGGGGGACGGTGCCTTCAACGGGCTTGCCTCAAAATTACGAAAATGAACTGGTGTTCTTTTCCCAATTTTATCTCTGCGAGCAAAGCTTAGTAAAGAGCAAGCAAAGGGTCCTTAGAAAGTATACGCTTGCGCTTCCTGATATTATTTTTGCCGTGCAAGATTATCGTAAGAGAAAGAAGTTACGATTTTTCAGAAAGTGGTGCCGAACTTTTAGTTCAACCTAATCATCGCATCTCACAATCAGATGGCCACTTCTACTAAGGAGGCATTTCTTGTAAAAATCTGCGCGTAGTGTTTCTTAACTACCTATGCTTTCATAATACTCCAAGATATTTTTTATTCCCGTGTTGATGAAAACGGATAAAATATGAAATAAAATGTGCATGTGGTATTTCAGAAGAAAAGTAAAACTTCACATTTACGACAAGGTGATTTTCCTATTACTGCCGTTTTGAACCACACCTTTTTCGCTTTGCCGAACATCGAGCCATTCGTGTTTCTACTGACCAAAATGGTAGAAGGAAAATCTGGAAGAAAAATTGAATACATGTCCTTGAGAATTTTCCCAGAAGGGTTACCGAAAGCGCTAATTATCAAAGTATGATTTATTTCAATTGTTGGCATTGTGTTAAGGTTATGGGTCATTCTTTACGAACCCAACACGATTTTACGAAAAATTATGTTTTGGGTTACTTCACGTGCTAATCATGATTAGTGTCCACTTTGCCCACTACTGTGTAACAATCAGGCTGTGATAGCAGTATGGTAGAATCCATATATATATAAAACCGAAACTCTAAATTCGTTCATTGGTAAGTATGTGGCTTATAGTTTTTTTTTGTGAACCGATAAGGCTAAAATCCGCCTTTTTATAGATAAGGCACTGCGCACAAGATAGGTTACTTTTTGCGACGATTTGAAATATTTATTTGTTTACTTATATCGAGGGTTCACCAACCATTGTTGGATCCTTTCCTCAAAGTTCATGTAAGTCGGGCGATAAAGTCCATTTACATCTCTTGACGAAAAGGATCCGGTGTCTCATGTCAGCAAGGAAGACATCACAGTTTCGTTGCAGATATGGAGAAGAGCGGTAAGTCTCAACGGGGTCGAGTAGCTCAATTCCTGGGTGGGACCGGGGACGCCATCTAGTATTCTTAAAAATTAAAGGACTGATGTAAGAAGGAGGTATTGGAACTTGAAACTTTCTTTTCGTAATCAGCCAAGTCTTAAAATCGATTAACTTGATAATTTCCTGATAGGCCAACACCAGTCTCTTGCCGCCCCGTGTTCCTCGTACCCATACATACACTTGAATTTTCGGCAGCATCATTCTGCGAGGAACATGAGCTAAAGAGTGGGTCTTATCTCTATCTACAGTACTCGCCGCAACATTAAATTACAATAACACGAGCCCGGACCATTCTGGCTAGAGTCTTGCCTAGGTCCTTTATCATGTGCCAGAATCCCGTAGAATTCCACCGTATGCTGGCAAAGCTGGATCTTACGACCCCCGATGGAGCGTATTGTCCGAAATGGCAAACAGTACGATCAACCGGTGTTGTCGTGAATGTGTTAATGCACGCAGCGTGTATAAAGAGCTAAGCAGCGGAAGCTTATTTGTTTGAAATCCTCATGGTAAGTGATACACAGTTTGCACCTTAGAGGAGTTCTCTAGCTCTGTTTATGAGCGATTATTTGTTGGTCTTACGTCTAATGATAATGAATTACATTGTTTTCGAGTTAGCAGCTGATGCACGGCTACCACAACAAGAAAGCCAGTGGCAGAATGCCAGTTTTTTCTGCT